CTTGTCTTGAGATGAACGAACTAGCTAGCGAGCCACGCAGTTTATATCCAGCTTTGAAAGACAAGGAAGGAGGAGAAAGAAACAAGGAGGGACAAAAGAACAAAAAAGGCAGGGTGAATAAGAGGTGTAAGAAGCAAATGTGCAACAACCTCAAGCAGTTCATGTTCATATGAGGAGTCCAGAACCTGCCGGACACACACACACACACACACACACACACACATACATACATATATATATATACTGTTTTACATACACACTCACGCACACACATACTCACTTAGCATTTTCTTCACTATATAACTGTATTCTGTAAATTGTATTCACATTTGTTCTGATTGGCCCACTGTGATGTCAAGCTGGAGGCGGAGTTAAAAGAAGAACATCAGCTACTGTATTGAGTAAATAAACACTAGTGAATTTTTTAATTATTACCTATGAAATAATACATTTAATTGTCATATAAGTGATGCGAGCGCAAATTAGAAACATGACTTGGGTCGAATAAACAGCAGACGGGCCTCCTGGACGTGGGTTGATATTAGATAATACTTCTCAGAATACAGTGAGCTGGATTTGTGTTCACGTTAATGCGAAAAGAGAGTAAAGCCGAATCAGAGGGTTAAAACGCCACTGAACTACACAGGAATCAGACACAGGAAGGAAAAAAAGACCTAAAATAATGAAATGCTTAAGTAAAAAAGGCCAACTGAGGAACTCAAGTTGGTTTTATGATATTTGTCATACATGTTATTGTTATTATATATATATATATAGATATATATCACATAAAACAATTGCAGACTTAAAAATTGTAATGGTAGTAGTTTTTTTCATTTTATGTCTGTTGTTGTGTTAAGTGTATTTAGTTTTATTTGAGTGTTTAGGTACACTGTAAAACCCAAAAAGTTAAGGTAACTCAAACCATTTGAGGAAACTGATTGCAAAAAGCCATTTATGTTCAAAAACTAATACATATGAGTACTGTGAACTTAATCCATTTGAGTAAACAAAGCAATATAAGCACAGTAAAACCCAATAAAGGAAGAGAAACCGTTTGAGGAAACCGATTGCAACAAGCCATTTGGGTTAAAAAGCTAATCTTAATGAGTACTGTGAACTTGATTTAAGTTGGAGTCATGAGGTCTTTAATTAACTCATTACTTTCACTATTGAGTTCAAAACTCTTTTCAAATGAGTAGAATTAACTTTCACTCAATTTTGAGTTAACTACACTCATTTCATTTGATAAAGTGGAATGTTGGGTTTTACAGTGTAGGGCAGTGGTCACCAAACTTGTTCCTAGAGGGCCGGTGTCCTGCAGATTTTAACTCCAACCCTAATCAAACACACCTGAACAAGCTAATCAAGGTCTTACTAGGTATACTTGAAACATCCAGGCAGGTGTGTTGAGGCAAGTTGGAGCTAAACCCTGAAGGGACACCGGCCCCCCAGGACCAGGATTGGTGACCCCTGGTGTAGGGGATATATAGGGGATATATTTTTGTTTATTATTTTTTTGTGGGCCCTCTCCGAGGTATTTGGCTTTACATATTGGTTGTTTAAAAAAAAAAAGGAGAAAAAACGACAAATAAATGGACCTGACTCCAAGGGTTCATAAAAGTGATTTTATTTGTCCAGTGTTCTTTTATTTTACGTCCTTGACCCTAGATCAAGGTCGTAAAAAATATTAAAATAATATTTAAAAAATATCTAATAAATGAGTACATATTAAAACATATAGACGGTCAAATTTATTCACCCTCTGAATTTTTGTTTTCCTTTTCAAATATTTCCCATGAAATTTGTCACAGTGTTTCCTGTAATATTTTTTTCTTCTAGAGAAAAGTTTTATTTCAGCTAGAATGAAAGCAGTTTTTAATTGTTTTTAAACCATTTGAGGTCAATATTATTAGGCCCCTTAAGCATTTTTTTTTCAATTGTTAACAGTAGAAACCATCATTTACAGTGACTTACCTAATTACTACAGCCTAAATTACCTAATTAAGCCTTTAAACGTCACTTTAAGCTGAATACTAGTATCTTGAAAAAATATCTTGTAAAATGTTATGTGCTGTCATCATGGCAAAGATAAAAGAAATCAGTTATTTAAACTCTTTATTAGTTATTAAAACCCTTATGTGTAGAAATATTCTTGCAGTTGAAATTGGGGAAAAATTTACAGGAGAGCTAACAATTCTGACTTTCAACTGTATATAGTAATACTATTAGGGATGCAACGATTAACCGATTTTACTAATTAAAAAACCCAGGATGTCTTTCGAAAAAGAGTAGGGGTTTAACTCTGGCATCCTGGCCAAATTGGCCCAATGGCCTCTGTCCATCATAGCCTTCTAACCATTCCCATTTAATAATTGGCTTCATCACTTTGTCTCCTCTCCACCAATCAGCTGTGTGGTGTGTGGTCTGGTGCAATATGGCTGCCGTTGTGTTATCCAGGTGGATGGTGCACACTGGTGGGTGGATAAGGAGATTCCCCCAAATGTGTAAAGCAATATGAGAGTCCAGATAACCACTACATAAATGTAAGGAATTATTATTATTATTATTTAATTTGTCATGGTTAATTAATTGTAAAGGCTTCTCAACACCATGTTTCTGCATAGAACAAAACTGCTGTAACTAAAAGTTATGCCAACTGTGTGCTATTTAAAGTTTCAAACTTGTACACCGCTAATACGCATGCACACTGCATTAACTATGGCTGGTCTTTTGTGAGCGCATGTTCGTTATTTCCAATGGAGGCGCATATTCGGAGCTCATGCTTTCCATGTGCACCTAGTTGAAAGAATGGCGCGAGCACACCATGAGCCACATGACAAGAGCGGACTGTTCAGCTATATACTTTGTATGAAATATACACATTTGTACTCCAAAGAGAAAAAGGGAATACTAAATACCTTTGTAATATAGTTGATCAAAATGCCATTCTGACTACAGCTTTTGACTACATTTATTTTCTTTAAAAGGGAAATACTTAGCTATTATGATGCTTAGATTTACATTAGGCTAATACTATATATATATTTTTTTTATTCATTCAATGTTGTCATTTATTTTCAACATAAAATTACTTATTTTTAAATGCCAAAAGCTTTTATTTTTAAGTCCAAAGAGAAATGGACTATTGTTTGTTTTAAATATTATTATTTTCCACTGTATTATTAAGTTTCTGAGCAGCCATAAATAACAGATTCAAATATAAGGAGCTTTCATGTGATTTTCTAAACTTGTAGTGTTTTGAAATGAATGAATGCATAATAATTGTGATAACCATGAAACCGTGACTATTCCTCAAACTATAACTGTACCCCCTATAATCATTGCATCCCTTAGTAATATATGGATTATTTATTTTAAAGTATCTACTTTATATCATATTGATCTATTATTATTAAATGCAGTGCGTGCTTAGCGAGTCTTTATTTGGACAGATTATAATCAGCCTAAGTGAATCATTTGAGCACTGCCTGCTGGTCAAAACCCTAAAAAGAATCATTGATAAATTGTAATCACTGGGCTCTTCGAATGATTCTTTTAATAACAAGTCGTCCTCTACAGCCCTCTGTTACCTCTATCCTGAGCTGTCCGTAACACACGCTGCATGTTTGCGCTCTATCTCTGTCCACTCTCCCCTGTCTGTTTCTAATACGCAGAGACGTGATTGAGGACGCTCTGAAGCGGGACAGATTTACCGTCCTGTGCTCTGTGTCACTGCGGCGGTTCACAGGACACGGCGTGAATCAGCACTCAACACTCACTCATACACACACACTCACACACAAGACCCTTTCCTCCACCACTAGCGGCATTAGTAGACACATGAATATGAAGTTACATGAGTCTGCATCTACGGTTAACTCCAGAGATGGACTGACGGAGGGGGGAAAACAAAAGAATAAAGGAAACCAAATGAGGTGCCATTTGAGTAAGAGGGTGCCATCTCCGAAATGTCATACCCGGAGAGACGGATCAGAGATGCTGAAACCCCCCGAAAAAAGAAGAAACAGAAATAATCCCCACACAGCTGTTGCCGTCCCACAACCAGCGCACACCACAGGAAACACACACACACACATACACCCGCAGCCCCACAGTTTGTGTGTGTGTGTGTGCTTGTGTGTGTGTGTGTGTGTGTGTGTGTGTGTGTGTGTGTAAGGCTGGCTTTCAGGGTGGATGGTTACCTGGCTCCACTTCATGCCAGCTGCTGGCTTGGCTGCCGCTTCCAGGCGAGCGTCCCTGACCTGGGTAGTAGGACTCCTCTCCCGGGCTGTCCACCTCATCCTCCATGCATTTGATTCGCTTTGCAGAACTGTGCGACAAAGACGAGAGCAAATGAAAAGATGATTAAAACCAAAAGCAGGAGCTTTCTGCAGGATTTGGGCTTACAGAAACGCTATAGACATTGTGAAACTGAAGATACAAAAGCATCTAGCGTGCTGTGTTTTTTGAGTTTGATTTAATAATAACATGTGGGTGAGTGTGCCATTTTAAAAAGTATACTCTAGATAAAACTATATATATGTACAACATTAATATTATGTTAATACATTAAATCAGTTATTTCTGCATACAAAATAGATGGAGATATGTCAGTAAACACAACTACATAAATGAATGCTTTGAATTTAAGATTTATTAATTTAGCATACATGTTATAGCCCTCAAAATATATCAAAATAAAAAGTGTAAATGAATGAATCCATCAACAAATCAATCAATCAATAAATAAAACCCAACCAACAATCTATAAACAGATAGAACGTACTAAAACACACAGAAATACAAAAAATCATTAGAAAATTAAACCATTAAACCACTGGCTAGAACTGTAAAACTGCATTTTAATTGCATTAGAATTGTAAAACCCCATTAGAATTGCATTAGAACTGTAAAACTGCATTAGAATTGCATTAGAACTGTAAAACCGTTAGAACTGCACTAGAATTGTAAAACTGCACTGAAATTGCATTAGAATTGTAAAACCCCATTAGAATTGCATTAGAACTGTAAAACTGCATTAGAATTGCATTAGAATTGTAAAACCGCATTTGAATTGTATTAGAATTGCAAAACTGCATTGGAATGGCATTCACTATTATATTGACATACTTTATTACAGTAAATGAAAAGTTCAAATGCAAAACCCTCAAATTCAAAAGTGCCACCTAAGATTTTTTACCTAAAATTTTTTTCCAGGCTGTTGTGTGTAGTTGGTTAATTTTGCTCTTATGGCAAAGAATAGGTTACTTCATTGTCTTTAAAGTGAAATGTTTCTGCAGGTTTTACTAAGTTCAATTTAAGACATTTTTAAGACCATTATGAATGAAATTTCAGACTTATACAAGGCTAAATGTAAAAATGTTTTTGAATATGCCAGTTGGAAAAGATTTTCACTTTCCCAATAAATTTGTTTTTACAATTTAATACATTTAATAATACAATAATAATAATTTAATAATAAAAAATAGTTCAGGTCAGTATCCTCAGCAATAAATAAACGGTGAATGTTTAAATAAATGTTACTGCAAGGAAAGTAATTAAAACATCATGGTAAATAGAGTTAATTAAAGCTTTATTGAGATGGATTGTTAGTGATTGTATGAGGGTTAATGGCCAGATTGAGCAGTTATACATGAACAAAGGAAAATTAACACCTGTTAAAAAAGATTTAAGACCTGCAATACAATATTGCAGTACATTTAAGACTTTCTGAGGGCTAAAATTTAGCTTTTGAGATTTAAGACTTTTTAAGACCCAGCGGACGCCCTGTATCTAATATAATATTTCAAGAAATGTATTTTGACACATATATAATTGCTTTGATGCACTGAGAGTAAGATTTATAAATTTGGCAAACAGCCCTCAAAATAAGTCCAAGTCAAACATGCCAAATAAACACATAAACAAATGGGAAAATAAGCGAGCGAGCGAGCTAATGAATAAGCAAACAAACAAATGTAAGTAAAATAAATGTTACCTTCATAGAAAACATGTATACTGTACACACAAATAAATATATAAAAACAAGCATTTTTCATCTATAGTTGCCCAAGTATTTCTCATTTTAAGTTTAAACTAAAATAACTAAAACTATATCAAAACTAAAATAAAAAAAATGATTCTACATAAATGCTGAAAATGTCAAAGACAACCATAAACATAAAAACTTTATCTGCTTTTGTTCACAAATCTGAAATGTACTTTCAGTCAAAGGACTGAAACTAAAGAGTACGTGAAGTTGATTTCATGATGACTAAATGTAGAATATCATTCAAGCAAGAAGGAGGACAGCAAAGCGTGAGCCTATTCAAGCACACACACACAACAACACAATCTAACAAAGATCCAAGAGGTGAGGAATCATCGGAGGCTGGCGGTCATGTGTGTATGTGAGTTATCTGCTGTAAGCTGAGCTCTGACATTTATTTGTTAATGTAAGGCCTACTGGTGTTTTTCACTCATAATCGCTTAATTAGTTTCTAGCATGCAGCCACACACAGGGTCCTTATTCCAGATGTTTGCTTTGGCAGGCCTGGCTGAAGAGGCCACTGGAGCATGTGGGCAGACGCACACATGTATACACACACAGATGTATTTGAATGAGCGCACATGGGCTCAAACACTAGCAAGCTAGCGCGCTAAACTACATTTTTGTGCATCAAAGGGACTTACGATGACTGAAAACAGCTTGACAAGTGTGTTCTGATATATTCAACAAATGCATTTCACAGAAATGATTAAACCGAATGTACACATTATATAATATTAGTTTTTTCTTAATTAGTTTGGCACATTTTTCGAAACAAGAATCTCTAAAATTGTTTGCAGACACACCAGAACTGTATTTCATGTCTGCAAAATGCAGTAACTCATCCAAAACATTTATGTTTCAAAAGCTAGTTGTGTCAGAAAATTGGCCGTTGTCCCCAAAACTGAAATGTGTTGTCATTACATGAGTCAAAATGTTTAGGTGTTTTGTCAACATGATAATCAACTACAGAAATGTTCACGTTGTTCATGTTGATGGTCCTTACTGCTTACTATACAACACAAAAGTGTGTATTTAAAGTAGGGTTGGGAGATTAATCGAAAAGTAATTGAAATCGACATTCAGAGCTTATAATCGATCAAACTTTTTCAGGTAAATTTTTTTAAATTACTTTTCCTACCGCGTGTAGAGTCACATGAGCCCGCTCAGCAAACTTGTGCATCGAACCACGGGCTGGTCTAGTGCAACCTTTGCGCATTTATTTATTTAATTTAATTTATTTATTTGGACTTTTTATAATAAAAACTGTTTCAGGCAATGTACGTTTTTATTTTAGTTGTTCATCGTTGATGTTCAATAAATAATCATAGATCACAGATAGTGTCCGTTTCCATCAATTCTTTTAAAATCAAGTAGTGCAAACAATCTGGAAACTGTAAGAGCAAAAAAATTCATTAAATAATAATAATAATCGTTCATTAATCGTAATCACGTTAAAATGTTTAATTAATCGAGATTCTGGTTTTAGGCCAAATCACCCAGCCCTAATTTAACGTAGATAAAGATTAACTGGGAAGATTAAAGGCTTGTTTATACTTCTGCATCAGACGCATGCGTTTGCTCCAGCGCAGTCTTCGCGCAGTCGCATAGCTCTTACCATGGCTGACGCGCACCTCTCAAAAAATGTAACTACAAGTTGCAACAACGCATAGCACAAGCTATGTAATTGGTTGGCTTGGTAGTGGTAGTGCTAGTGACCAGTGTGGGTGGGACCGAGAGCCTTGCGAACTAGTTGGAGCGAGTGTTTACAAGTTTCGAGTCCTGTAAGGAGCTCAAAATGGGAAACTTTGTTTTGCTGGTTCCTCACTCTAAATAAGCAAGTTTTAGCTACTTGTAGTGTTCAGAAAAACAAAACATTTGCAAAGAAAATCGACACAGAGGAACATAAAAACCTACGTTTCGGAAGTATTATTGTAAAGCAACAAAAAACAGCACGCAGAAGTATAAATGCTCGACTGCGTGTAAGGCAGGCCCCGTGGGTCACGGCTATCACACGACGCAGGAGTATAAATCAGCCTTGAGATTACACAAAAATACTTATACTCAAAATGTTCATTTTTTATTTTACATTTTAATGTTACATGTTGTAAACCTGTTAGTAAGTCATTTGACTCATGTGAAAATGAAACTTGTTCTGGGATCTGAACTTGTGTTGTGATAAGTCTCGAAACGAGCCAGAGCAATTGAGAAAAACTGTTGCAAATGGTCAAGTACGTTTGCATTTATGTAGACTTTAGGTATGCTATGTTATTTAAAAGTGACATCAAAATCAGTGCAATAACAGTGACCGTTTATATGTAATGTTTCAGCTGTGCACACACACACACACACACACACACACACACACACACACACACACACACACACGTGTCCAAACACACACATCTGTCCACGCACCTCATGCGAAGAGGTGCCACGTTGTGCGGTTTTACATTTGGGAGCTGTGTGCGTATGTATGTGTGCGTATGTGTGTGTGTGTGTGTGTGACCGGCCCGTAGGCTGAGCGGGTGGCAGAGAGAGAAGGATCCAGGTGGACACACATATGCTGGAAGCTTGTGTAGCTCAGTCTCCTGCAGCCTCTTCAAATGCTCAGCCAACACATCAATCTCTGCCTCGGCTGATTAATTAAGACTCAGAGTGAAGAAGAGTATGTGTGTGTGTGTATGTGTGTGCGCATGTACCTGCTAGAAGAAGTGCTGGGTAGGGGGCGCCTCATGGCCCCAGGGCTCATACTGTAGTAGGAAGAGCTGTCCAAGTCTGCCAACGAAAAGTTGGGCCCCGTCCCTGCCGCGATGGGCGCTGTCACACACAAAGAAAAACAAACAAACATCAACATCAAAGTGCAAAGAATTTAATCTTTACTTTTTTAAGTCAGTAATACAAATTAAACTCATTTTTGGAGCACGTTGGTCCTTTTTCTGTCCAACATGCACTTCAAATACAAAATCTGACAAGAACGGCATCAAACTTTAGCTCATAAACACATTTTTCACTTGGTTCAAGAAACAAAAACAAACTCAAAAGACAGACGTGGACAAAACAACTGACAGACATACAGATAAACAAGATTTTCAATAAAAGTTACACGCACTTAAAAAAAAGAGCTGAGCAAATCCCCACGTGCCCCTTTCTGTAGGTCATCGGCGAGCAGCGCTCTATCAAATGCCTTTGTCATACAGTACATAAAGCTGTGATGCCTCTTTATATTCATGGTGACTGAGACCACTATTTTTTGATGAGGACAGCACGAATGTGTAAGAGAGCGGCCCTGGTCCTGCATACCTAATAGGCTGGGTCCAGGCGGAGAGAGAAAGAGAGGGAGAGATGTATGTTGGGGGGAGTCGGACGGACGACAGAGTGGAAGACTGTGATAGACACGGTAATGGGCTGCCTAATTAACATTGGAAGAGGACACGGCTAAAGGGGCAAGTTGGACCAAAGGAGGGAGAGAGAGCCAGCGGACTAGCCAACAAGCTAAAAGTTGGACACGTAGGAAGCGAGAAAGGAAGTGCTATAATTTCTGAGTCATCTCTTTATGTTAACTTTTTTTTGGAAGGGGGGAGGAATAGGCGGTCCTTCACTCTAATAGAAGTGGCAGCGGGGATTATTTATGACGAGCAGTAAAGCCGGCTGCATTTGCATGGCTAATAGTAGGATGTGAAGTAATTTGTGTGAGAGCTAACCTGGGCACTGGGCTGCAGTAACTCAGCCGGCCCTTGACGCGCACACACACACGTACACACAAGCGCGCCCTCGTGCCGAGAGTGGCCGGCCCTGCTGCTGCAGTTTGGGTAGAAAAATGACCACACTGCAGTCTGTCTGACTGGAATGGAAATCAATCATAAAGGTAATCCGCAGTCTCTACCTCTTAAAGGCTTTATCAAGTGCTTTCGCTTGGAGGATTCCAAATGAAGCCTGTGGCTATCAGGCCGGCATTGATCTCTCTCTTCTCTCCTTCCCCCTCTGTTCTCGCTCTCTCTCTCTCTCTCTCTCTGTCTGATCTTTACTGCTTTACCTTTCAAGTTGCTGGGCGCAAAGTACATTAGCAAAATGTTTCAATCTATTCTATTTACTCAGTGCAGAGGAATGGCAGTGTGGGTTTACACAGCTATGCGCATGGGGGCGATGCAAAAATCAGCCACGCAAGATGGCTAAATTTGACAGAAATTCCCTTGGGGAACATTCACAAACACAACTTCTAAATATATATATATATATACACATATGCAAAGTACAAGTGAACTAAAAAGATCCAGGCAAACAGGTTTCAGACTGAAAGGTCGGCAAGTTACAGGAAGTTTGTTGTCAGGACAGCAAAGTGATCGAGCCTACTGAATGTGGCAGAGTTTTTTGTGTGTGTGTGTAGTCTCTTGTCTCAGGGGTTGACAATCCCTCTTAACATACACACAGACGTACTCCTCCCCTTCACCCAAACACTGGCTGCTAAAGCATCTACAAAAGCTGGGGAGGCTATTCATTTGAAAAGAGCAGGGGGAGGAGGAAGAGAAAGAGAGAGAGAGAGAAAAAAATCGGCTTTTGTTCAGGCCGGATTTTAAAATTGAAGCATTTGACAACAAAGGCAGCAGCAATCAACTTCAAAACCCTGGACGTCTGTTCACCCTGTCTTCCCCCCGCCTTACTCCTCATCGCTTTATTGAGCGAGAGGACCATGGCGTGATGGGATCTCATCTAGAGCTGGTCTGAAGTTGGTGAGCTTTGACAGGACTTCAGTGGGCTTTTTTGCTGGATCAGCTCCTGTGTGGATATAGACCTACAGCATAGGTCCAGAGTTCTCAGTCTAGAGAAGAGGGTTCACATGGGGGTGGACCTTACACCTTTACCATGTAGATTCCCATCAAATCAAACGAAAAGAGAATGCAGCAGGAACAACGATGGTGGAGTTTGCAGGTCAGTGTCCAGTTGAGGGAGGTCAAGAAGCAGTCCTGGACTCAGCATATTACTACTCCTGGTGAATACACTTTGAAGAACATGGCTGATAATATGCAGGTTGCTGGTTTGCTTCCTGCAAAGAGTGAGCTATGAGCCATCACCATTGTGCACTTCATGTCATTTTTGATAAAGATGTCTTCCTAATAACTCCCTTAAGTGGTTACAAACCGGTACCTGATTTCAAAATGCTATGCGTTTCTACAGAAGAAACTAAATCATACAATGTTGGAACAACATAAAGGTGTGTAAATTATGGCAGGATCAATACTCATATTTATCTTTTTTTATCTTAAATAATGTTCAAAATGTAGGACATCTCGCAGCAAGTTAGCGTTGATAAGATTCAAGCCCCATGCGTGCATTTGACTGCAGATGGCACTGCCCACTGGCAGGCTTTGGCCCAGTGTTGGCACAGTGCTGACAAGACTGGTGGGCGTATCCCCACTGGTGCTGCTCGGCAGTGTCTCAGCCACGGCAGCCCCTCTCCTACTCCATAATTCATCTGCTCCCCCTGTTCGGTCATATGGCTAAATGGTGCGTGCCAGCGCCCGGCCTTCGCCCAGGGATTTCCAGGTGTCCCTGCCCCTGGACCACACTGCCTTTCTGCTTGCCAACATTTCTGCAAGGCTCTTGCAGGCACACTAATAACAATAACCTCATCCTAATCCCGTATCCTCTCCTGTCTCTCTCTATAGCCCTCACAATCTCCTCTGGAGAGGCTCTGAGAGGGCGGCAGCAACAGTAAAACTGGCTCATGTACAAGTCCTCTTGCTCACCTGAGCTTGACGGTGTGCCAAACTGTGGCTTGACAGTGTCCGACTTTATATGGGGGCCAGCTGTAGAGAAAAAAACAAACTCTAGGTGATAGTGGCGCTTACTGGGAACGTTTAAGAACACAAACACTGCAAGACTCAAGAAGGTAGAAGGGAGAAACTGATGAAGGAGGAGGGAGGAGGATATGGAAAGGCGGACCCAATCTCCGAAATTACCCCAGCTTGGTATCGACTGGCCAATTATGTGGAGTTCCATTTACAAAAACGTAGCTGTAGTGGCTAACTTTATGGAGACTTTCATTTCGCTCTACCCTATACTCCCGACCGCCCCTCCTTCTCACTCTCTCGTTCCCTTCCTCTCCTTTTTTGTGTGGTGCTTTAATAGGATATTGATCGACAGAAGCAGATTCGATTGGGCTGCCACTGAATTGTGTAATGGGTGCACAAAGCCAAGGTCATAGTGTATAGTCAGGGAAGAGCTAAGGCAGCCCGTTGTCCATTCAATATCACGACCTTTCATCTTCCGAACGGGCACGAGCCTGCACTCAACCCGTTCCCTGTTCGCTTAAATAAATCTGCCAGACGCTCCCACATAGAAGCCCCGACGGAACTCCTCTGGGCAATTCATACACCACTTCAGTACACCAGATTACCCTCTTCTACCCATCTTCCAATCTGGTGCACTTACCCTCTCTTCACTTCAATCAACAGCATCATCTCTGTGCCTTCCACACGAAGCTACCAAAGTCATGAATGTGCATGCATACAGCACTTTAATTCACAGTCACTCCATAGGGAGCAATCCTGTTAGAGGACTTATGCTAACTGTGGGCTTTGCTGACTGCTGAACTTCTTAGATGGTATTGCCCATTAAAAAAGGAAAGAGGTTAACATGGGAGTGTGAGACACAGCCAAGTCTCCAGCTATTCTTTAGAGGATGGGAGATGATGAGTTTTCAAGATATTCTGCGGACTATTGTGTTTGATCGCTGCACATTTCCGAATTGAAGACTTAAACTCCCTTTTCATTCACAGGTGTGACTTTGAATGAATTGTGAATGGCACAAGAGAATGTTCTCTTGGAAGCTTTTAAACATTTTCTTTTAATTTTCAAACAAGTTTAAGTTGACAACTTTTGTGGTCCAGGACGGAAGAGCACTTAAATTCCCAGAATGCATTACCTGTGTTGAATTACTCTGAATGGCACTTCACTAAATTCCTTTTCCTGTTTAACTTCCTGTGGGGCTCAAGAGTAATGTGCTCTTTAGCCCAACATTGGCAACCCCCTGCTGACTAAAAGCCACTGGACTGTGGAGAGGAGAGGAGAATAAAGAGAGTGATGGGAAAAGAGAGCAGAACACTTTGATTTGAATCGAACATCCAGCATATGCCACCCAGCATTTGCTTTTCTTCTCAGTGTGTCACAGATGTTAGGATAAAAGCCGATCTCTCCGCAGAGCTGGATCAATTATGCATATTCCTTAATCTTGTTACCATCATACGCCAAGAGTTCTGATGCAGCACAGTACTGGCTGAGTTTTAATATCTCTGTCTTCCCCTCTCTCTCGATAGCCTTCATCATTTGCCGCATCCATCACATCCTTTTGCACCACCTCACACATGCATGCTGGACTCACGTTGACCCTTGCATTTCCTTCTGCCCGTCTGCTGTCACGTCGCCAGAATGTGGTGGCACCCAAATGTTTGTTCTCTCCAGACGCTGTCTTCGCGTTGGCAGGCACCGTGAGGGTTTTTGAAGGCAGACTGCGAGGTGAGACCACGGTGGGCTCTTTGCCCGGGCCCCATGACACCCTCTTCTCCTCTCCTTCGCCCGGGATTAGGTCACGGAGGAGTGTGATCAATGCACCTTTGATCAGAAGGCTCCAGCGAGTGCTGACAGGCGCTTTGGATCGGCTATTGTTAGCGGGTATCGACATGCACGTATGGATCGTGCTGCGCTCTGTCACTCTCCACCGTAGACGTCTGCAATTTTTAAAGGTCACGTTTTTTTACTCCCTTCCCATCCTCCCTACCTCCTCAGGAAAAGTCTGCTCTCCTCCTTCTGCATTTTGTTTTAATCTCTTTATCAATCCGGGAAAGACTCGATTGTTTCCTCAAGTTGTGAAAATACTCGCCATCATCCATTTACTATTACATTTAAACACCAAAACATAAACCCCCAGAAAAACTTCATTTTCACAAGGGTGTATTCAAGCACAACAAATGAGGAGTTATAAAAGAAACAGTCTGCACAAAGAAACTTAGTTTGTACTTTAGAAAGTCCAAGTGCTGTTGAACCGCACTGCACTGAAACACTTTCAGCTGACTGCTGCATTTCGCCGGTGTTTCGATTTCTAATGAGAGGAGGGATAGTGGATTCAACCCATTGTTCTGAAAAACCGAGCTGAGAAACCAAAGAAGCTTTCCTCCTGCACACTGGTTAATCACTATCCTCATCCTACCTTTGAGCGGAATTTGAGACGCTTGAACTAACATGATTTGGACATTGTGGTTTTAATCTGCTAAAGGCCTTCATGTAATAGGGCGAAACTGGTCTTAGGAAACCTCACCGCCACAAATAAAGCTAAGCTGAAGGTTATGACCCTTCCACGACATCTTTATTGAATTCAACTAACCTAATTTTAGGTTGATTATGAAAGCTCAATAAATTGATTTTAATGGTTCAAGTCAAATTATAACTGACCTAAGGAGTTTTTACTTAAAAGACGGCACACTTTGAAAGGCAACACTGCTAAGATAATAAGACTTGTTTTCAGAGACTGATTCATTCATAAACAGATGAGTCAAAGACGCTCAATGATGTCCCAAAAGGAAGAATAATCATTATAAGATGTGGAGATCTTACTCTGTGAGACTCGCACTAGCTCAGAGACGGTGAAGACACCTGATGTGACGAAACTGTCCTGGAAGCCAAGGTGCCCTAGGAGACAAAAATGAAAGAGGAGAAAGACTGTTATCTGAATGAACATGACAGAATACAGAGCAAAGACAGCCTCTATGTCAACAACACACTCACACGCACACATAGTCCCAGTGGGAAAGAGAATAGGGAGTGTTTTGAGTGACACAGAGGGTAGAGCACATCTGGATTCGGTCCCATGAGTGTCTGAAGTACAGTGGGGCAGAGGCGCAGTGCAGTGCATCACACACACACAACGAGGAGCTGTATGCTAAGCCCAAGAATTCACAATTATTATCTGTTTACATATGATACGTGGTGGAATCTCGGTCAAAAGCATTCTTTGTTCGGCAGGCAGTCGGTTGCCTTTTCCAGCAGACAGACCACAATTACTGTGTTCATAATGCTGACTACAGCTGACCCAGGACCTGCCACACATCCTGCGGCCTCTTATTCTGCTGGAGGGGCCCATATCGGCCTCAGATTCAACCACAGACAACCAGACGACCCTAAACTCTATATCATTCAACACCACAGAATCAAAACATGCAGTCAGTGTGGCTTACATGTCGCAAAATGACCTGCTCTTAAAGACTGCTGATTTGGCAAGGCTGATCAACACAAGTTAGATTCCTTACAATATACAGCCGAAGGCAAAATTATTAGACCTCATGTGAAATTAGCATTCTTTTCCAACAAGAAAATCATATTTCTTAGCTATTAAGAAATTGTTTTGAGTTGAATGTCAATTAAAAAAATCTGAACACAAGAAAATCTTATTTCTTGGCAGAAAAGCAGTTTTTATTTGTATTTTTAATTATTTCTTTTGTTAAACACAAAAGATGATAAACTGAAAAAACTGAAAACTTGAAACCATTGACTTCCATAGCAGAAAAAATATATTCTATGGTTGTCAATGTTTACAGGTTTCCAACTTTTTTCAGAAAGAAACTCATAATGGTTTAAAATAAGTAAAGAGTGTGTAAATGATGACAGAATTTTCATTTTTTGTCTCCTTAAGCCTTTAAATTGCACTTTAACCCTTTAAGGTGTTTGAAAGGTGCTTGTTTGGCCTCGAAAAAATTATTGTTTTTGTTTTTTTTAACTGATAACCTATGAACAAAAAGTCAACCAGGCGGTTATGGTGTCTATTAAAGGGTTAAAGTCTCTAGTCCGAAACTTTCACATGCGCTTTTTTTCGTATTAATATGCAAAAAAAATCATCACATACACAAACCTTGCATAGTCCAATGCGTTAATTAATCAATTACGAAAAAAATGCAAAACATTTCGGAGTCAGTTCAAGCAGTGATACTTTGTTCTCCTCTCTTCTCCAAAGTAGAGGAATAGGCTGCATATTGTGCTAATCTAATACTGCTTAGAGAGGAAGGAGAGTTCTGCTCCTTATCAAAGAGCTGTGCTGAATTATGGCGTAAATAAAAGTTTATTTTTAGGAAATCAGTGGAATTTCGATACATTGGTTGTGATTGCTTGCATTCATGACCGTAAACAAATCCTGAACATAGACTGACAGTACCTATAGACATAATAATAGATGGCGGCCGCATTGACGGGAACGAAAGTGGACTACGCTTTCTATTTTATTGTGTATGGAAAGTACGTCAAATGTATGGACACACACACCAAACAGTAGCAGGACAGAGGTGCGCCGTTCTCAACTGTCCACCACATTCTGTCTTTTTATTATGCACTGTGTTTGTCAAAGTTATCTGTAGCTCAAATGACAGCATTCTGTATTTAGCTTTTTGCTTGTGCGGTGGCTCTGAACTACCAAAACATCTCTCAAAGTGCTTTTTCGGATACGAAAAGTGTAAAAAATTTTAAAAAATTATGACAGACGAAAGTTTTGGAGGAAATGTGTCAATATGATTGACTCAACATGAGGTTTAAACATTTTTTTAAGTGTGAAGATCACGGACGAAAATCTCGGATTCAGTGTGCAGTAACCTTTAAGCTAAATACTAGTACCTTGCGAAACAACTAGTAAACTATTATGTACTGTCATCATGACTAAAACTAAATAAATTTGTTGTTAAAACTATTATTTTAAAAAATGTGTTGAACAAAATCTCCCTTTCTTTGGGAAATATTTTAAAAGAGCTAATCAGTTTGACATTAACTGTATGTACAGTAGACTATTTGAGGGATGTAAACAAAAACAATGGTCCCAATGTATTTCTTGTTTTATATTTTTAATTTCTAGAGCCTTCGAGAACCCAAAAAGAGACACATATTGTTAGATAGATGTCATGATAGCTCTTTAAAATTTCTATTGTTACAGTTATGAAATAATTTGTTAACAAGCAGAAAATGTTCATGGCCCAATCACATGACTACATTGAAATGGTCTATACAGCAATATTTACTGGATTAGAAGTAACTAGATTGCAATAAAAAGTACATCGCTGGCAGGAACAGAAGGAAAGGGACAAACTTTGCAATAACTCTGCATTATGTAAATACATGCACAACTAAGAGACTTTATGTTTGAGACATCTCCAAGATAGACACGGTGACAAGACAAATTTTTAAGTGATGTAGCTATTAAAACGACTTCCTCCGCAGCTTTGGTGAGCTATAAAACCAACAATAGAAATGAGTTTAGTCTTGACTGGCTGGATGAGGAGACGTATAGCATGTGGACGGGCGGAATAATAAATAATAAAAACAGAGAGAGGGAGAGAGGGAGAGAGACGAGAGAGAGGGAGAGAGACAGAGGGAGGGGTAATATCTACGGCTCATTGCGAGAGAAAGTGCTGACATGAGCTAAAAGACTGCAGACCCGGAGAGCATTCCTGCGCAGATGCCCCTGAGATTGAGAAGAAGAGTGAGATAGAGTTTGTTCGGGGAGGTATCAGAAGAAGGGGAGACAGTATGTGGCAGAAAGTCAAGGTAAATTACCGAACAACAAAGCGACAAGGACAGTGGTGTATGGGGTCGAGAGCGAGAGAAGGCGAAAAAAAAAAAAGTCAAAGTTTCCACACAGCTGTACATACTGTGAAACAACAATAATAAGCGAGAGCAAGTGAGGCGCACCATTACTTGGAAAATGGAGGGATGACGCAATGGGGCTGAGAAAGGAGAGAGAAAGCAAGCGAAGGGAAGGAGCCTTCGTCACTTGAATTCCAGTATAGGGAGCATATGCACCAGGAGTTCAGCGAGGGCATTTCCATGAGTGCCTCATATAGGGAGGCAGGGGCGAGGGAAGGGGCAGGGCTTCTATATCTCAACACGGATAATCACTCCCAGCTGTGTCCACTGTAGCGCTGCGCACACACACACATACACACATGCAGGGAGGAGCCAAGGTTCGCCTTTCACAGCAGCACAGAGACCTCAACAAGCCTCCAGCGCAGCAACAAGAGCGCCGTGTGGAACTACGCTTGGCCTCAGGAGTTGCAAACATATACTGTATCCGCATCTATAACGTTTTTTGTTCAACATCATAAAGTTATTAACTATGCTAGGTGTTTTGGCAACTATCCCACAACATTTAATGGACTTTTAGCTTCTTAGTAGTGTGTAGCTAACCTAAAGTGGAATTCTACCTTTGTGAAACAGGATATTCAAAGAGGAAAAAGGTGCAGGGCCTGATTTTATTCACCAGGAAATGATTGAAATGTGAATAGCATGTGTTGCATACCAGGCGCGAACGCTAGCTAGCTAAAACAATGGCTGCTGTTTGTTTAAATGATCGAATGTAATGCACAGCCTTGATGATGTCATCAGAGATGGAAAGTTGCTTGCAGCTACGTGCAATAAGAAGTAACCTTGTGTAAAAGATAGAGCAAAAGGGGGCTGAAATGACGAAAAGTGTGTAGTAAGTTCCAGAATGGAGCTAGCATATAAGTGAGCAAGCTAAAAACCAATGGCCAAATTGCTGTTAGTTTAATCTATCCAATAGAATACCTGGTCTTGGTGGGCTGATAAGGGATGATATTTAATTTATATTTAATTGAGTAAGTGATGTGGTTAACTTCGTTGATTAATTGTTTTGTTTTGATTAAATGTTAATAATTCATCTTGAATTGAACATGCCCACACAGTACATATAGTTACATTCGCATACTTCTGATTATTAATAGCAACTGGTACATATATGCATAAAACAATATCACCCATAGTTCTTCTCTAATTTATACTATTATAACTTTTACCTATATCCTGCACTTGCTGCTACTGCACTTCTGGTTGGACCCTAAAGTGCATTGCGTTTCCTTATACTTGTGCATGTGCAATGACAATAAAGTTGTATCTAATCTACTCTAATTATTTTTTATTACTATTTAACAAAATAGCACAGGCAAGGCATTGTTTATGGATTGTTACTGAAAAAACAAAATGGAGTAAAGTAGGGTACGCTACTATGAAAATAGGCACTGCTTGATTTTTCAGTCAGCAATTGATTGGTTATTGAAAAGTACAATGGCTAAATTGATTACATTTCCTAATAGAATGCATAGTACTAACACTAAGAATTGGGCTATATCCAATTGATTTGTGTTGGGACAACATGACGAAATTAAGTTAGCTTATTAGTTTTTACAAATTTAAGTGGATTGAACATAAAACAATAAAGTTGTCGCCCCCCCAAAAAACTTGCGTTTTCAGCTTATTTTAAATAAGACGTTTGAACAAGCAAAGTGTAATACATTTTAAGTGTAATATACTGTACATAGTAATACACATCATGTCAGATGAAAAGAACTGAACACAAACTTCAGTCAAACCACACTGAATGTGACCAAATATTTCTTTCCAAATATTTTTATGAATAAATGCTTATTCATAAAAAATATGATTGTTGTGTGGTTATTACTTATGATATGTACTGCTATGGGGCTAAGTAAGTAAATAAGCCTGCAAATAAATGCTCTGTATATCCGTTCAGACAAAGTGAGTACAAGTACAGAAATTCTGCTCACAACTAGGCCCAACGCTGCATAATTACCCTCAAAACTTACCAAATTTTAGCTAAAAAATTTACAAAATGTAAAAAA